CCTCTCGTTCGTCACTCTCGGCGCCAAAGAGAATACATAAGGCTCTGGTACACAGCTTTGCAGTACGATCCGTCATGTCTTGGCTCTTCCACACCACAGTCCAGCTCCTCTGTGTTATTTTACTCGTCGCCGTATGCGCCGGCGGCACCAGTATCGAAGACCCCACCATGCTGGCCGCATTCAAGAAGACGTCGTCGCTCAAAAGTCGCGGCTCGCGCAAAAGCGAGCTTCGGCCCAAATATTCCGCACGCCTAGCTTATGCAGTGGGTGGGTTTCTCATAGCCGCTGAACGGTGCAGAAATGGTTAATTCCACAGCGGGTGCTTCTTATCCATCCACGGCCATGAGATTCGTCGCCCGCGATCCTGAACCTATTCTAATGCTGGAGCGTCTGGAGGACCTCGTCCACGGCGTTGTTAGCGTACCGTGCCGGAACAGAAAGAGCAGATCATCGAAATCTCATTTGGTTCGGAGGATGGTTACCTTGAGGCTCTGGCGTCTTTGGCTTCTCATCCAACTTTCATGCTCGTAACCTCGCATGGTGGTTGCAACGCGGGGCACGTGGCGGTACGACATTAATGCAGGTATTATCTGTTACTTACAATGTCCTTAGCGTCACAGATGTCCAAGGCCATGAACAATTCCTCCGGGAACTCCTCACAGCACAGTCAACTCATCAGCTTTTTCACGCAAATCTTGTGAATTTGGCAACTTTTTTGGACTTTTTGAGTTTTTTACAAAAAAAAAAAAGAGTGGTCAGAAATGCGCCATCCATCATTGCAATGATTTCTTTTAAAAAAAGTTGGAGCTTTTCACACGCTTTGGCTACAGATGGTTAGCAACGACAGCAGCTCGGCAGAGGAACAAGGAAGATTTGACGGCATCAACTCACTAAGTCTAGTTACTAATTAAGCAGACGAGAGGGGTACTTGGATGAAACGTCCCTTTTCACGGTGTATATCGACGAGACGTGGAGGTCGGGTTCAATTCCTGGAGGAAAAAATAACGGGTGAATTATTATAAGAACGATGTGAGGACTATAAGAAAATAAGTAAGACAATCACAGGTGTCCTCCACTGAGAATGAAAGCGTATACGATTCGGGTCGCGCAAAAAACACGTCGAGTTGCTTCGCAGAATTTCCAGACACCCAGCATGTCAGGCTAGAGTCCGATATCCCGCAGACAAGAAGATTAGCAACTCTCCCAGTCTGAAAGCGCCCTAAACGGTCGAATCCGAGTGGCAGTCGCACGGTTGTTTGAACCCAAAAAATCCAAGTACCGAGACACAGGTTTGGTTCTCAGCGCAGAGTTGACAAGGCAGGCCAGAAGCTCCAGTGGATGGGTTGAGTGTCGAGGTCGCCGTTCATCGAAGTTGTTCACCCCGGACCCGGACTCCAGGGTTCTACTTAGGCACTGGGTAAGAGCCGGGAGCAAGCCGGGAGACCAAGTGAGGGCAAAAGTTATAGGTATAGTGATGTTGGAGCGCAGAGGATGACACCACGAGCGCAAGCGGACGATGCGCCTGAGATAGTGAGAGCACACGGAGGAGGACGAAAGGGAAGCACTTTTTCATCACGTGCCTGGGTCGCGTCAAAGGCCGCAAGGATCTCATGGTTTTTTTTTGGGGGGGGAGCACAAAGTGGCGAGCAGACTGATCTAATCAGCTCTCGACACTAACTAGTTTGGGGATTATCTCCCCTTAATTGAGCTATCGTTGAATTTACGTAGACCCGGATTTCTGGAGGTGAAAAAAACCGGAAATCATCAAGTCCGTTCGTATCAAATCGTATGGAAGACATAAGACAGGTGCCGAAAGGCTTGCTTCAGATTCTGATTGCACTCTCGGACCATGGTGATAATGGAGTTTTGATTTTCGTACACGATCCTATTTTCAAGGATCCCCTGGGTCGCAACCGTCCAACACAACTGGGATGTAGGTAAATTATGGAGGCCAAGGCATCATTCAGACCACTTACCGACAAAATCGGGGCCAAGTATCGAAAATCATTTAATGTGAACGTGCCGGAGATGCTCACAATCTCAGTTAGGGTGTCGCGATAGCGCCTTGACGATTCTGGGTGGCCGGGTGCAAAGGTGGCATGCAGGTCGGCAAGAGCCGCAAGAGCGAGGATTGTGGATAGTTGTAAAACTAGTTCGGTGGTATGGTAGTCTGGAAGGAACGAAACCTTCAGGACTGCTGGCTGCAGGACCCCGATGTGTGAATGTATTTGCTCGATCAATTTCCAGTATCGGTCGAACCAAAATGTAGGCGCGGTTGAACCTATTATCGAATAGTAAGCGGTGCGATTAGTTCGATGCAATGTGGTATACCTAATGGTGAGCCATTCCACGTGGACGTCAACTGTCGGGTTTCTGCAAAGAGCCGGATGCTTTTGGCTCTCATGAAATTCACGTCGACATGCGTAGCCACATGCGTATTCTGAGGAAAGAAGAAAGAATGAGCAAGCTAGCAAATACATTACGCATGTCGGTGTATTTCTGAAACACTTACCATTAGGAGGCTGAACTTATCCACAAGCCGCGCATCGACCACTTGCGGGGCCCCGGTCACAGTCAAATGAAGCGAAGTCCCGACATAGATCAGATGGGAAAAAATAGCGCGCATTTCATCGGCATCATTGGTGGGGAAGACGGAAAACCCGTGGTTTGTCTCGTCTGAAGAAATGTTCCCCAAGCATGCCAAATCTATGTCATGGTCGAGAGCTGTTTTGCTAGCAGCAGCCAAAAACTCTCGACCTCGATCCAGTTGCACCTGTTTTTGAAAGTAGATAGAAAGAGTGATATATGTTAAGATGGATGTGACTGGGTTTGGAGCGGGTCCAAACATTCCGTTAAGCGACCTCTGGATTAGGTCCATCTGTGTTGATTCCTCTTCTATTTCATAGCCGACCACAATTTGACTCCGGCTCAGAAAGTCGAGGAGATATCCCCAGAGATGGCAGACGTGTACCAGAACAGGATGAACGACGAGACCCGTCATATCGCCCTTTCTGATAGCATCGAGTTTCTTCTGTGAAAGGCTGAATCCGTGCTGTGGAGCCGTTTGCAGAAAAAGAGCTCGGCTTCTCGGAAGATTGAGTGAGAGATGGAGGTAGACTATTAAGGAATAGACTGACAGGCGAAATAACTTCTTTTCTTCAGACTCCGGCGTGACGCCAAGATTTGAAACCACATCGAGAGAATCGCCTAGATTTGGGTTTCCGACAGTGTCACGTACCATTGTAACTGGCAGGAGATCAAAGGAATCGGCCGTTAGAAAAATAGGGTCGGAAGGCCCAGCATCGTTGCTGCTAGCAACTTCAGCGTTTTCCCGAATTGTGAGAGGTGCTGCCAATTCCGATGTAGAACCCAGCTGATCCAGTTCAATTAGGACCTCCGGGCTCAGCTGATGATCCAGGGTATCTGGAGGCATCTGTTTGGCTTGATAAAGAAGCTTCTCCAGCTGGCGAGTCCGCTCAATGAGGGATCTCGTCAAGGCGAACTGGCTGCCATCGTCGAATTTGCAGTCATCTTCCTTTCGGGCAGCAACGCATGCGCGACATGGCCAATCTCCACTGCATTTCTGAGGTGTACAGGTCAATACAAGTTCTTCAGTGCAGATAATCAACCCCAGTACCTTCTTCTTACGCCTGCTTAACTGTAAAATCCAGTGTGTCTATGAACGAAAACAAGGATGCCCACCGACAAGCTGTACACGCTGCCCCTTTCCGAAGCTCGGATCCATGTACCGTGGTCGGAGTGTTGGTATAATTACAGGCCACTTCGGTGCGCGCTCTGGAGCACGGATCGCAAGGATTTTTGCCGTCACATCGCTGGCAGAAACATCAGGGAACCCAGGCCAATTAGAACTAATCAACTTGCAATCTTCATCGCTCGACATCGTGCACAGGTTGAAGTTTCAGCTTTCCCCATGACTGGGGAAGGAGGAGACAGTGACAGCGCCGCGGCGATAAAACGGCGCGGACATGAAACTTATGACTAATCATCGTGCTTTGAAATTTTGTCGCGTCGGTTTCGCGACGCAGACTTCATAAGATGTGATTCTTTTGGAGAATTGAGGCTTCCAGGCATGTATGACACATCTGGTCTCCTCAGATTTTCAATAATCCTCCCAACAAGTGCTGAAAACATTAAGCCCAGAGAAACCACCAAAAGCTGATGGCATCAGCTGATGTCTCCCACAGGGCGCGTCGCAAACTTCAGATGTATGTAACGAGCTCAAAAAAATATCATAGATGCATAGAACACACTGAACGATTCGCCAAAACGATTTGATGGGGCGCCCCGTACCAAAAGGTAGCGAGTCGTCGCCATCACGACTGGAAGCGACAACGGCCACCGAACCCAAAAACCGAAGTACTTATTTTTATCGCCTGTATGATTTTTCGTTGGCTGGTATTATTAACATCACTTCAGGGACTTTAAATTCCTGCCCTCTCAGGATTGCACCTGGCCCTCTGAATTGGCTCTCATTGACATGGATCCCATTTTCTGGTCAAACCGACTATTTACAACAGTTGAGTGTACGAACGGGTTTGGTCGCATGGCTCGCTGCAGCAAGCTTCCTTGTCCACTTGTTGGACTGATTTTTTGCGATATGGTTTTGGTACGAAGGGTTCTAGGCTCCGAATGTATCGTTATTACTTATCTGTACTTATTACCTCAGCCGGCTGGGTTGTTAGATATTTTTTGTTCATTATACACGGGGATAATGTTTACTACAATGAGTAGATCCAGGCTACCGCCTGCGTAATCCAATTCAAAGACCGACCCGTACTATTCTAACTCGTGTGTAGTATGCTTTCTCCTTCATCTAGCAGACATCTCGAATGCTTTTTCCAGGTCCTAGAAACTTATAAGGCTGTGCAGAGCATCGTCCTTAGGCCTAATATTTATTCAGATTGAGAACGAATCCTCCCAAAGGCACGAACCTCTTTTGCGAAACACACATATATTTAGGGTCAAAATAATTTCAAAGAGCCTTCGTGGATCATTGGGATTACCTCGAGAATTTAAGGGTTTCAAATGTTAAAGTTATTGAGGAGAAGGAGGTTCGAATCCTCCCGAAGGCATACTGCTCCTTTCCGGTGTTTTTTATTTATTTTATATCTCGCATCGCCATTCACTGCTTGTTCCTTTTAGGGACCACCGCAGTAATGCATCCTCCTCCTCCTCCTCCTCCTCCACTGGTAAATTATATGAAAGAATGGGTCTCTTTCCCCGAACGAATGTTCTTTTCTTCTTGCGGTGTTGTGTTGATTTGGGATTGCAGAGGCTCTCCAGATGGCAATTTTTTTCTAATTTGAATCCCGCGATCCGCACGGCATTCCATTGCCCAGCATTCGGTGCTTTTATGCAGGTTACGTCCAGTTTTCTTGATCTGTGAACAACGAGACCAATTTCCATGTTTATTTCTGGATCCCATTTTCAATTGCAAACGATCTTGAAAATATTCTCTGAGTTGCAGAAAAATATGGTTCATAGTTCTACGTCCGTTTAGTATGTCACAATATAAGGCCTTTCTGAGCCTTAGCATGAAATTAAGCGAGGTTATAGGGTCTTATAAGTGCTTGTAACCTTGCTTAATTTCACGCTAAGGTTCAGAAAGGCCTTATAGAAGATTATAAGCGAAATCGGACTTTTGCGACATACAGTCAACACTGTATGCGTCTTCTGGATGAACTTCGTTTAGTCGACCCTCCCAGGCACTTTATTGAGCCGGCTTCCCTTGAAACGCGCTCTTCTGATGGGCTTACCAGTCCCGCTTAAGGTCCCCCACGCCTTAGACTTTTCCTGCCCTCGGCCTGCGTGAGTGCTGCTGTGAATTGCCGCTCGGCTTCTGGGTCTCGACCTGAAGACGGGATTCCAATTAAAAGAAGCTCTTCAACGCTTGGGAAAAGGTGCTTCTCGGAAGAGTCATTTTTGTCGCATCCACTTTCCAAGGATGGTCTGAACGCAAATACCGCTGTCAGAAGTGTCATTTCTATACTCCGATTAAGCACCACCGGTGCGATAGTGGCAAAGTCATTTCCATACTCTGCATTATCCGATAGCTTTCTTCCCAACAATTCGACTGAACGTGAGGAGATAAAAGCGAATGAACGTGTATCTCCCGCTGAAAGTGTGTGGCGTGCGAGGATTGTTATTAATTTCCAGACTTTCGTCTGGTCGGCCCTCTTGGCGTTGATGTTGTTAATAATGAGCTCGGGGATCGGTGGAAGACACCGGATGAGCCGCTCCACCGCTTCCAGGTCCTCCCACTTCCAGTCAATGGCGACACTGCTTATAAGTACAGACACCAACTGAATCGTTAGAGACGCAACTATACTTCGGGGACAAGTTAGTACGTTTCAGGTATACATTTAGCGCCGGTATCAGAAGATCTGGATTGGCTTCGATAAAGTTGAGAATGTCCTGGTCGTCCAAGAATGAGAGAATGTGTGGGGTAACGTCTTCCGGTGGCTGAATGTTGGTCGCTTGACGCCGAGATACCTACATAGTCTTGTCAGAGCCATCGAGATGGCGTATGTTGTTCAACGAGACTCGCCAGTGGGGAAGGCCGACTCCAGATTAGATTATCCTCCTTCTGTTGGTCCTTTAAGGTGAGCCTGAGGTCGGTGAGTCTGGTGATGATTCGCTTCATGTCTCTTTCCTGGCGTATAAGTAGACGCGGGTCGAGGAGGTGGGAGTGGCGGTCGAAGAGCAAAAGACGCCACACCGACACTTGAAACCAATGGCTCCAATCCGGCTAGTTCAGGTCCTTGTGTGCTAAATAGATATTGAGTGCCATTGAAATATTGAATCCCCTGAGCTGGAGAAAACGCGCAATAATTTCTCATTTACCACTTAGTTTCGGCAAATTCTGGAGGAATGGCATGGCACAAAACAAAAAACCACGGACACGAGGAATCGAACCTCGATCTGCCCCTCTCATCCCGGACCATGGGAGATTGCCATGAGACTGCGCTATCCTTTGCACCATATCCGAATACAACAATATGCAGGCCCCTGGCTCTACCCCAGCGGAATTAAGCTTAATTGTAGAATTCAACTTGAATTCAACAGTATGTTTTGAGCGCCCGGCGATAGCCGAGGGTGGCTGTGTCGCGATCAAGAAAGTGTGAAAGTCTATCCGAAACTGCGCGGAGTGCTACAGCAGGCCACACATAAATGAGCAAAAAAAAACAGTTTGGGAATATGTAAAGCGGAGTTGGGTTTGAACCTTCACAAGAGTCAACATGATCAGCTGGCGCAAACGGATTTGAATAAATACTAGTAGTGTCTCCACAACTTACAAGCAATTCCGAATTCAAATTTGGGACTCATTCGTAGAGACGCAGCGGCACGACATACCAATATAAATTAAATTTTATCCTCCAATCTCGACGTTGAGTGTAAAACAACGGCTTGTGGTGAAGATGCAAATTACTGCACACCAAGAATGAGGCAAGTCTGACCAGAGAGATACGAAATCATGAATCTAGGCCACCTCTAGACTCCAGTCTACTCCTCACCACCAGGTAGGTAAGTCTCAGAAATCCGCCCAAAATGACCGAACAGGGGCTTGTTTGGTTCAGCGTTATTAAACTCCCACGATCTGGAACGGCCGGGCCGGGTCTGGACCCACCGAGTTTTTGCCAACTCAAACCTCCGCTTTCATGTTCCGCGTGTCTCGATTGCGAGTGGTGCACTCCCTTTGCACCCAACGGCCCACCGTAATTCAACAAGCCTTTTTGAGAGTCCCTTGCACTGATTTGGACACCTGAAGCAAAAAAAAAATCGATACTTCTCGCTTTGACATGTTGGCAAAACCATTCAACTTCCTTATGTGGACTTGGGCGTCGTGGCCCGCTTCGGGACTGATCGCGGATGTACATTCTCTCCCGACAGACCCCACGACCTAGGCCGACTCTCGGCCCGCGGAAGTAGTGTCTAAGAAATTTGGAATGTGAAACTTCCGCGGATGGACGCATATAAAAGCTGGGCTGGTTTGAGCAGAAAACCATCTCCGGATCCACCAACCAACGAACACTACTACGACCATCAACCAACGCTTCTACGACTTTTTTTCTACGACACTACGACTATCGACCATGCTTGCTCCTATCTTCGCGCTTTTGTCTCTCGCTGCGCTCTCAGTCGAAGCAACTTCGCTCAACACCAACGCCGAGCGTCTCGCTCGTGGTCTCCCACCTCTGCCTCCAAGACGGCGAGTCCCCGGTATGCTGCTTCTTTATTTTTCCCTTCTCATGTACTCACCATCATCACAGGGGCTATCCGCCCCAGGACCTCGTCGACACCCTTCCACTGTGAAGCCAAAGCCAAATTCTGCTGTTCTTCTCTCCGCTCCAGCTCCAGCGCCTCATCCAAGGCCACCCTCAAGAACCTCGGGCTCAGTCCCAGCAGCTGTGGTTCGCAGATCGGCTTCGGCTGTGCTGCTGCCACAGGCGGCAAATGGTCCGCAATTCCATCTACACGATCCTTCATCACCACAACTCAAACCTTTACTTCTAGTGATAACGGCACACCTTCTGAGTGCTGTGGCAACTTGTATGGCGACATCGGTATCGACTGCTCGCCTAGTACGTATTTCCGTTTTTTTTTCTGCATCAGAGATCTAACATGTCTTTGTACATTTACAGCCACTTTCTCGTCTTCTTCCAGCGCCGCGTCGTCCACGCGCGCAAGCTCGTCAGTTGTAACCTCTCGCGCAAGCAGCAGCGTTCCATCCTCCGTTTCGGTGCCCCGCTCCTCGTCTACTGTTCGTAGCAGCAGCGTGTCTAGCGTCCGTCCCAGCAGCTCGGCTGGTGCGTTTTTCTTCCCTTCCTATATTTCAAGGAGTTTTAAACCGGTGACTTTATCTGTTTTTTTAGTTTCATCCCGGGTTTCCTCGTCCGTGCGCGTGTCTTCTAGTGTGCGCCCGAGTAGTTCAGCGACTTCCCACGTTTCTTCGAGCGTGCACCCTACGAGCAGCAGCGTTCGGAGCTCTGTTTCCTCAGTGCGCCCTTCGAGCAGCGCGTCGAGTGTGCGCCCCAGCAGCTCCATCCGTGCAAGCAGCAGCGTACGGAGCTCTGTTTCGTCGAGCGTACACCCCAGCAGCTCCACACGTGCAAGCAGCAGCGTTCGGAGCTCTGCTTCCTCAGTCCGCCCTTCGTCTAGTTTGCGCCCCAGCAGCGTGTCTAGTGTGCGCCCCAGCAGCTCCACGTCCTCCATCCGTGCGAGTAGCAGCGTTCAGAGCTCCGTCTCCTCGGTCCGCCCTTCCTCTAGCGTGCGCCCCAGCAGCTCCGCATCTTCCATCCGTGCGAGCAGCAGTGGTCGGAGCTCTGTTTCCTCAGTCCGCCCTTCCAGCAGCGTGTCTAGCGTGAGCTCCACTCGCGCGAGCAGCAGCGTACGGAGCTCTGTTTCCTCAGTCCGCCCTTCTAGCAGCACGTCGAGTGTGCGCCCGAGCAGCTCCACCCGTGCAAGCAGCAGCGTACGGAGCTCTGCTTCCTCAGTCCGCCCTTCCAGCAGCGCGTCGAGTGTGCGCCCCAGCAGCTCCACCCGTGCAAGCAGCAGCGTACGGAGCTCCGTCTCCTCGGTCCGCCCTTCCTCTAGCGTGCGCCCCAGCAGCTCCGTGTCCTCCACCCGTGCAAGCAGCAGCATTCGGAGCTCTGTTTCTTCCGTCCGCCCTTCGTCTAGCGTGCGTCCCAGCAGCTCTGCATCCTCCATCCGTGCGAGCAGCAGCTCTGTTCGCGTTTCTTCGAGCGTGCGCCCCAGCAGCTCTGCATCTTCCATCCATGCGAGCAGCAGCGGTCGGAGCTCTGTTTCCTCCGTCCGCGCGTCGTCTAGCATGCGCCCCAGCAGCGTGTCTAGTGTGCGTCCCAGCAGTTCCGTGTCCTCCGTTCGGGTGAGTAGCAGCGTTCGGAGCTCTGTTTCCTCGGTCCGCCCTTCGTCTAGCGCGCGCCCCAGCAGCTCCGCGTCCTCCATTCGGCCGAGCAGCAGCATTCGGAGCTCTGTTTCCTCAGTCCGCCCTTCTTCTAGCGTGCGCCCGAATAGTTCGGCGTCTTCCACCCGTGCAAGCAGCAGTGTTCACGTTTCTTCGAGTGTGCGCCCCAGCAGCTCCACCCATGCAAGCAGCAGCGGTCGGAGCTCTGTTTCCTCCGTCCGCGCGTCATCTAGCATGCGCCCCAGCAGCTCGGTGTACTCCACTCGTGCTAGTAGCAGCGTACGGAGCTCTGTTTCGTCGAGTGTACGCCCCAGCAGCGTGTCTAGTGTGCGTCCCAGCAGCTCTGCTGGTCCGTTTTTCTTTCTTTCTCTATTTCAAGGAATTTAATTTCATCTGTTTTTTTAGCCTCATCTCGGGTTTCCTCGTCCATGCGCTTTTCTTCTAGTGCGCGCCCGAGTAGTTCGGCGTCTTCCATCCATGCAAGCAGCAGTGTCCGCGTTTCTTCGAGTGTACGCCCCAGCAGCTCCACTCGTGCAAGCAGCAGCATTCGGAGTTCTGTCTCCTCGATCCGCCCTTCGTCTAGCGTGCGTCCCAGCAGCTCTGCATCCTCCATCCGTGCAAGCAGCAGCTCTGTTCGCGTTTCTTCGAGCATGCGCCCCAGCAGCTCTGCATCTTCCATCCATGCGAGCAGCAGCGGTCGGAGCTCTGTTTCCTCCGTCCGCGCGTCGTCTAGCATGCGCCCCAGCAGCGTGTCTAGTGTGCGCCCCAGCAGCTCCGCGTCCTCCATCCGTGCGAGTAGCAGCGTTCGGAGCTCCGTCTCCTCAGTCCGCCCTTCTTCTAGCGTGCGCCCCAGCAGCTCCGCATCTTCCATCCGTGCGAGCAGCAGTGGTCGGAGCTCTGTTTCCTCCGTCGGCGTGTCGTCTAGCGTACGCCCCAGCAGCTTGGTGTCCTCCACTCGTGCTAGCAGCAGCGTACGGAGCTCTGTTTCGTCGAGTGCACGTCCCAGCAGCGTGTCTAGTGTGCGTCCCAGCAGTTCTGCTAGTGCGTTTTTCTTTGTTTCTGTATTTCAAGAAATTTAACTCCATCTGCTTTTTTAGCCTCATCTCGGGTTTCCTCGTCCATGCGTGTTTCTTCTAGTGCGCGCCCGAGTAGTTCGGCGTCCTCCATCCGTGCGAGCAGCAGCTCTGTCCGCGTTTCTTCGAGTGTGCGCCCCAGCAGCTCCGCGTCCTCCATCCGTGCGAGCAGCAGCTCTGTCCGTGTTTCTTCGAGTGTGCGCCCCAGCAGCTCCGCGTCGTCTATTCGTGCGAGCAGCAGCGTGCGCGTTTCTTCGAGTGTGCGCCCCAGCAGCTCCACATCTTCCATCCGTGCGAGCAGCAGTGGCCATAGCTCTGTTTCCTCCGTCCGCGCGTCATCTAGCGTGCGCCCCAGCAGCTCGGTGTCCTCCGCTCGTGCTAGCAGCAGCGTACGGAGCTCTGTTTCGTCGAGTGTACGCCCCAGCAGCGTGTCTAGTGTGCGTTCCAGCAGCTCGGCTGGTACGTTTTTCCTTGTTTCTGTATTTCAAGGAATTTAACTTCATCTACTTTTTTAGCCTCGTCTCGGGTTTCCTCGTCCATGCGCGTTTCTTCTAGTGCGCGCCCGAGTAGTTCGGCGTCCTCCATCCGTGCGAGCAGCAGCTCTGTCCGCGTTTCTTCGAGTGTGCGCCCCAGCAGCTCCGCATCTTCCATCCGTGCGAGCAGCAGCATTCGGAGCTCTGTTTCCTCCGTCCACGCGTCGTCTAGTATGCGCCCCAGCAGCGTGTCTAGCGTGCGCCCCAGCAGCTCTGTGTCCTCCACTCGTGCTAGCAGCAGCGTACGGAGCTCTGTTTCGTCGAGTGTACGTCCCAGCAGCTCTGCTGGTACGTTTTTCTTTGTTTCTGTATTTCAAGGAATTTAACTTCATCTGTTTTTTAGCCTCATCTCGGGTTTCCTCGTCCATGCGCGTTTCTTCTAGTGCGCGCCCGAGTAGTTCGGCGTCCTCCATCCGTGCAAGCAGCAGTGTCCACGTTTCTTCGAGTGTACGCCCCA